AAACTGCCCCAAACACCTTTCCAACCTCTCGCAATTTGTGGCTGGTGAACTTCAGATCCAGGAGGTTTCTTTCTGTTTTAGTTGACCTCAGCACTTTTTTCCTCCATTAAGCATCATAGAAGCACAGAATAGTCAGGGTTGGAAGGGACCTTAAAGATCATTTCATTCCAACCCCACTGCCATGAGCAGACACATCTTCCACCAGATCAGGGTGCTCAGAGCTCCATCCAGCCTGGCCTTGAACACTGCCAGGGAGGGGGCAGCCACAGCTTCTCTGGGCAACCAGTGCCAGTGTTTCACCACCATCAGGGTGAAGAATTTCTTCCCAATATCTAATCTAAATCTGCCCTCTTTTACTTTAGACCCGTTCCCTCGCGTCCTATCACTACGCACCCTTATGTAAAGACCCTCTCCATCGTTCCTGTAGGCCTCTTCAGGTACTGGCAGGCTGCTCTAAGATCACCCCGGAGCCTTCTCTTCTCCAGGCTGAACAGCCCCAAATCCTCAGCCTGTCCTTGTAGGAGAGGTACTGCAGCCCTCTAATAATCTTCGTGGTCCTCCTCTGGACCTGCTCCAACACATCCACCAAATCTCTTTGGGAACCCAACCAAACCTGCAGCTGGCCCAGAGAGTGCCCTGGAAGTGGGAAGAGTCTACCTCTGTTTGCTTTGAAGATGGTGTCTGCTGGTCTCACCTGACCTCATCAGAAGATGATGGATCTGAGTTTTGCTTGACAGTAAGCTGTGAACAGCTGTCTCCTCCTCCCTCTCTCCATACCAAGAACAACAAAGCTACCCCAAAATCTTCACAGAAACGAAGATGACAGAAAAGTGTCTGGGGAGCTGGTCAGAGCAAGGCCCGTGAGGAAGGGAGGCTGCAGATCCCAGGCTCTTTCTTTCTTTTGCACAGCTGCAGCCAAGAACAGGGTCTTCAAAAGCTACCTGTGACAGATTTGGCTCCCATACCCACCACATTTGAGCTACACTCCTTCCCCTTCCCTTCCAACAGCACGCATTTCATCCCTAGCTCACTGCTGAGCCCAGCAGGTGGCATAAAGTCTTTGCCAGAGAAGAGTTCTCCCTACTAAGGCTCCTGCACAGGACGCTTGATGGAAGGCCCTCCAGCTGGCATCAACAGACCCAAGGTATCCCCAGGGACAGGTGCTCTCCTTCCTAGTGGTTCATCTAACCCAGGGAGTCAGCTCTCCCCAAAAGGGCTCCCAGGACTCGGACCCTCAACACCAACAGGCACCACGTGCACGGACGCGTGGCAGGTCCTTGGGTGGCTGCGCCTCAGAGCCTTCCCCCTCCACCCCACAAGCCCACAGGCCGACTCGCTTTCTGCGTGTGACACAGCTCCCATCAGCAGCACATCGCGTGTTTGTGGAGGAACTCCTTTGGACATCATCAGGATGATGGGACAGAGTGGACCCTCCCTAATCTGATGATAACACCACGCTTGCAGGAGAGGCTGATTCCCCCTTGGGTCCTGCTGCATTGAGAGGGACCTCGACAGGCTGGAGAAATGGGCCACACCAGGAACCTCACACAGTTCAACAAGGAGAAGTGCCAAATGCTGCTCCTGAGTTAGAAGAACCCCAAGCACCAGTAAGCATTGTGGGCTGCCAGCTGGGAAGCAGCTGTCCAGAAAAGGCCCTGGGGGTCTTGTGGACACCACGTTGAACATGAGCCAGCAGCGGCTGAGCAGGGGGCTTGGACTAGATGACCTGCAGAGGTCCCTTCCAATCTCAGCCACCCTGTGATTCTGTGATCCTGAGCAGGGCCAGGACATAACCAGAAATCTCAACAGCTCTTCCCAAGAA